GCGAGTGGTGTTATTTCCCCTTACCCCTCCTCTTTGGTGCTGGTCCCAGTCTGAACGAAACGAGTTTCCCAAAGCACAGCCACGCCAGGCTGCCGCTGTGCCGGCTCCACACCCGATGATGGGACGGGGGGCAGCTGTTGTGGGGGAGCAGGCGTTTTGGGGCTGTTGGCAGGGGTCTGTGGCTCTAGCAAACAGCTCCCTGTGGCTCTTTGTGCATGCAGGCGTGTGCACGCCTCTGTGCGCGGGTATGGCAACACTCCCCAGGCGCTCTCATTCTAATGCTGCTTTCTCCCCAGATGAAAATATACATATTCTTATTAAGAAAAAAAAATGTGTGAAGTATAAATTTGCATCTATGATCATTTCTGTTTCATAAATTGTACTTTAATAATAAAACAATGCGCTCTTCTGAACTGCCTGATAAACACTCAAAGGAAGGTCAGCCTCTCGTACACAAGCCTCAATATTTTGACGAAGGAACGCACGACTGGTATGAATTAAATACCACAGGGTAAAATACAGATAAAAGGGTAGATAAAAGCCGGTCTGAGAGCTCACACATGGGGAATCCACCACCTCCTCCTGTGCCACGAGAAGTGTCTGGGACCCCCCAGAAGGACCCACAGGCAGGGCAGCGCTGCCGGGGTGTCACCGCCCCGGCCGGGAGAAGCCCCCCAGCGGAGATTTGTCTCCTTGAAAGACGAGACTTGTGGCCGCATTACAGAGAAAGAAATTACAGTGAGGGAGAGAACGTTTTATATATCACATATATCCCTTCGTAGCGTCAAATTTAATTTGAAGAAAAACCAACGCGGCCGCCATAAAGTGGAAACTAATATTTTTTATGACCCCTTAACAACCTGTCCTTAGTGCTAACATACCATAAATAAATTTCAACGTCTTGTTATACACGTAGTTTATTTTAAACAAGACTAAAAGGGGAACACAGTTCTTATTGAAAACCGGCGCACACACAAAGAAGGGGGAAAGCTGGCTTTGAAAAACTTAATCCCCAAACCTACTCTTTTCTATTCGTATTAATCTCACAACCTTTCCATCGAAGCGAAACATGGAAAGAGTTTCCAAATATTTTATAATTCTGAATGGATTTCCCCCGTGTAACAGTAATAATATTTTTACAGCTAAAAGATCCACTGATTTAATAAGTGTGATTTGTGTATTTAGAAAATTCATTAGAGCAGACGTTTCCCGACATTTTCAGATTTATTTATTTATTTAGCCTAATTTGGGTACACTACTTCAAAAGAACGCTTAGAGCTTCCCAGTTCCTTAGTCACTCACTAATAACATCTAATAATTAATAAAGACATGTAAATTCTTAACTCCCAGAACTATTCCAAACTTACTATCAGTACGCTTCGTGTCATGTCTCACTTATGGATATCTGCATTACTTTGTTTCATAAAACGCTGAAGGGACACGTACTTATCTCGCTCTCCACCGCGAGCGAACACCCAGGCACGCTGCAGCCGCTCGGGCACAGGGCTGAGGCCGCGCCAGGCTGCACCTCCCAGCCTGCAAAGCCTCACAGGCAGCGGCACAGGATCACAGCCGGGGTCGTGCCAGGCTGTGGCCCTCGTGTGAAAACACACCTATAAAGACAGGGCAGGGGACGTGCGCCTGTTCAGTCCTTGCGCAAAAATGTGGGTGCTACTCGTGGGTTGGGATGAAGGCAGTTTGGGAGGGAAAGCAAACACTGCAAAAGCAGAGCATGAGGAGGAATTCAGGTGCTGCCTCCCACCACAGGCAGATGTTCCACCACGGCCAGGAGAGCGGGGCCACCACACAACGGGTGTGCCATCGCTCCCAGCGTCCCCACTGCTCCTTCCTCTCCCCCTGCTTCTACCACGAGCACACTCCGTGGCACAGCAGAGCTGGGGTCCCTCAGCATCCCTCAGCACCCCAGCCTGCTCGCTGGTGGGCAGGGCAAGGAGCAGAAAGGACTGGGCTCCGGGCAAGCACACTCAGCAGCAGCTACGACATCCGCCTGCTATCAGCAGTTTTCATCACAAATCCAAAGCAGAGCGCCACAGGAGCTACTAGGAAGTAAATTAACTCCGTCCCAGCCAAAAGCAGGGTGGGCGAGTACATCTGGACAGGAAAGGCCCAGCTGAAAAGTATAAAAGCCCCGGACAGCAGCTCTGAAAGCGTCTGTGGAAACAAAGAGGGCACCGAGGGCAGCAGCAAACACCCTCATTTTCCTCCTTACAGCCCCTTCTGCACCTGCCTCCAGGGTTATTAAAATCCCTGTTCCATGGATGGGGACCACGGGGAATAACATCAGCTCAATCCATCTTTACTCGGAGGCAAATTATTTTGTGTCTGCTCCTCTCTGACAAGTGCTCTTGTCAGTGCTTTGTGTTCTGTAACGTCTCTGTGTCATATTTATTTGCTTGTTTTGATTTCTGGTCCTCTGTCGGAAGGAAGGCTGCCAAGAACGTAAGTCCTGTCTCCGAGCAGTCCTGCTGAGCCTGGGAAATGGGGCGTGGGCACTTCCAGACGCAGCAAAAGGCAGTACGTTGACAGAAGCGTCCCTAAAGAAACACAACTTGCACCAAGTTTTGCATTTTAAGTTGGGTGGACTACATGAACAGTACTTGGAAGAAGACAGAGAATAGCCCCACTGTCCTAAAGAAGAGGGAGCACAGTGGGTATTATGAAGCGACACCCGAGTAAGTTTCCCACACCAGGAACACGTGCAGGTGCAAGGTTATTCACACGCAGACAAACTGCAGCCTGGCAGTAATTTCGCTGCGTGCGAGACAAGTCCCCCCAGATTTCAGCTGTTTCTATCACAGCCTCCCATAATCTGCAAGTCTCTTCCTCAAAGCCAAACTGAAAAAAAAAGAAAAAATGCACCAAAGCTCCTTACCTTTCAATACAAATAGCTTTCTTCCAATCTAGCCACTATAAAAAAGTGTTCTGATAATTAATTTGCACTCGAGGCAAACAGGGTTACTTAGCCGAACTAATGTCTTTTCCCAGGAAAGTTTCACCCATAGCCAAGGGGTCAGTGAAGCAGAGTTCCTCTACAAATTTTTATGACATCTGAATATATTTCCCATCCACACTTGTATTCTTCCCTGTTAACGAGATTTCTCTGTTCTCTTGGTTTTCTGCTAGAGTTACACAGCCTTATGGAAACCCTGCAGTAATAAGAGCCCTGTTTGCGCTCAGCCCATGCTAATTCGTGCTCCTCAACTCAGGCACGCTTTGGCCATGCATACGCCGGCACAGGAACAACTCCCAGTCCCGCTGACAAATGAGCTCTTTAAATAATAATACTGCAGAAAGGGGATCGACTGCCTCCATCCCTTCTGCATGCATTATGGACTTCGCGGCGTTCTGGGAAGCCATCACTTTGTATTAGTGCTGACTGGTTTCAGGGATGGGCTGTTAAGGTGAGCGTCAGTCAAGTGGATATAAAACTTGCCATTGATCAGAAAGCTGACCCTGTAATCGATAACGGTGCAGACATCCTTCCCCCTCCATCACACTAGTTATTTGTCTAAAAATGTGCCTTCTTTTAAGACAAGGCTTTGTGATAGTCTACTTGGGATGTGGCAGATAAGAACTTGTTGTAGATAAATGCAGTAATCACCAGGCATTTGACTGCGCTCAGGAAGCCTTGAGCTGGCCACCACCCAGCACCGCCAGCCCCATGGGGGCTTCCCAGTGCCGGCACCACAGGATGAGCACCCTGCCTGGCCTTACTCATCCCTGTGGCTTGGGGGTACACAGCCGAGCACCCCACAGACTAGTAAAATTGTGGCTGAGGCAAGATTCAGGGCAAGGAGGCAGCGGACACTGTACTGAAGGCTGGACGGTTCTGCTCATCTTTCCCCAGAGTGCAGGACACCTGGAAAAGCTGGCATGGGCTGTAGCTCCTTAGACCTTGTGTCTAAGTGGGGGGAGGAGTAGGGGGGAGTCTCCCACTGTTTTTAACACATGCCTGTGCATTAGTATTTTTAAGAATAAAAAATATATTTTCTAAATGAGTTATTCTTTTTCATACCTGTGCTTACACAATAGATACTGCTCAAGACTACAAATCAGTCTCCTAAAGCACCACACCTCCACCCACTAAGCTGAACCCAGATACTGCTTTATGAAGTCTGCTTTTAGGCTGGTGGCTCGAGTAGGAGTGTGGAGTGAAGGCTGCAGCCCTAACCAGGCATCACTCACCTACCTGGGCGCAACCCGAGCACAAACCAGCAGCAGGGTAAGCGCTGCACAGCCCAAATGCTAACAGGGCACCCGGCCCTCTGAAAGGACAGAGTGGAGGGGAGCAGCTGCAGCGATACCATGTACAAACCCCTTCGCTTGGTGAAATGTCACCAAAGCAACGCCTCCCACACGCCCCGTGTCCACACCACCTGAGCACACCCCCCACAGCCGGCTCCGAGTGCCGTGACACCCCCAGTACCTTGGTTAGCTGCAGATCGTCCCCCAATGGCACGCGTGCTGACATGGCTGGGTTGGTAATATTGCGTTACTCAGACAGGTAATTAACTTCATTTAAAACTAACTGGAAACTACACCGGTTAATATTCCTTGATCTCTGTTACTGTTGTACTGTCATCAAACCACCAGCTATAAGTTAGCAGTCAGTGGGAAAGAAAAAAAACAAACAACCGAACTTCTGGCAGCCAGAACCATTTTCAAAATCAAAATAAGAGCTTTTAATAACTCCAAAATAGCGTGATGTGTTTTGAACAACAGCTTTTCATTTCAGTAAGCTTATATTATAGTATGTGTCTCCTTGAACTAAGAGATCATTTGTTTAAATTGCTTGATTATACATAATGATCCTTCTCTTATAAAAGAAGATTCAACATTGCCACTGGGGGAGAGGGTGGAAAAATGCAGAGAATTTTACAAGAAAGAAAAACAGCTTACAACTCTTGCAGTAATAAAACATTAAGAAAATTTTCATTTGACTGTTGAACAAAACAGCTAGAAACATCTTGTTCTACCACAAATATTAACACTAACTCGCCATTCACAGGGAATAATGTACAGTTTTGATCAAGCTATAGAATCCACACGCTCACAAAATATTTAATTTTAAATATATAGCATGGAATTACTCCAACAACTTTTGCCATCACCTCCTGCCACTCTACATTTCCTAAACCTCGAGCCTAATTCACACATGAAGTCAGAGTATTTCAGTTTTAACCTAATAGCAATTGGACATAATTTAATGCAAATCTGCCAAAAAGGGTACAGTTTCAAAGCGGTCTTTTACACTTTTATGGTCTGAAATGAGAACAAAAATTTTAATTTCATAAAATTTGAGAGTGAAAAAAATGAAATCGTTTACCAGCAAGTCAGAGAACAGCTTACACATTACAAAAGTCTGCTGAAAAAGGTCCCACAGGGCAGACAGGAAAAATAGAAGCTTGCAGAATGAAAGTCTGGCAAAGAGGTAACTTTTAAGAGGCAAAACCATGGATTTTGTGTCTCCCTACATTTAATTGAGCTAATTGCAGGAAGAAAAAGATGGGCCCTGCTCCCAGATGAGAAAAGGCTGGCAGGGAGCGATGTGCTGATCCCGGGGATGTTGCTTGCTGCTCTGGGTCCTTCCAGCGACACGGGAGCAGCCGCAGGTTGCCCACGCTTGTCCGGCTGACTCCAGCTCTCACTGGCACCTGGCGAGCCCTCACACTGCCACCAGCAGCCCCCACAAACGTCCTCCATGGATCAGGGAGCTTTGGGTGCATCTTGCCAAGGGAAAAGGGAGGGAGAACCACTAGGGAAAAGAAGTGAGCTTTTGGAGAGAGGTCTTGGTGACCTACACATAAATATGCAAAGCCAAGGAGAACGCCAAAGCCTTTGTACCATCCCCTCCTCCCCCCTTCCCACCGGACATTACTGCCTCCCGAGCATCACCCACCGCCTGTCCGTGTGCCTTACGCAAGGTGAGAACAAGACAAAGATGCTCCACAGCTGCAGCCAGTGCGTGCACGGAAGGGCCAAACCAACTGCAGACATCAAAGCTCTCGTGTCTTCAAATAACAGAATTGCCATCACAGCGACATGTACCCGAAATGCTGCTACTTCCTGTGCTAAACAACCAGGGCACCATTTTCACAGTGCGTGCAGCTCAGTGCTGGCTCCCACCAGGCACTCAAACGTGATGCGATATGTGCATAGCTTCAACTTTTTTAATACGGAGCACCTAGTTCAGGGCTGTGTAACTATCTGGTGGCCCAGGTTTTGCACTGTTGTCTGACACTTCCCAAATATTCCAGCCCCTTCCTGGCTACCCAGTCCGCTCTTTTCGGAGCAGTGGCTGCTGAGCAGGGCAGCTCCCATGGGCAGGCCCTGCAGCTGCCACAGGATGGTCCCACCACGGCCAGGGCTGCCAGCCTGTGCCCCAGCCTGCCGGGCAGCTTGCTCACCTGCCCGGCCCCTCTGCACAGCCAGGTTTTGGCAAACGAAGGGTTCAAAAAAAAAAAAATAAAAAAAAAATTGACCTTTCAGAGTTGCAACTTGGCTTGCAGAACTTCCCCACCCCATCCTGAACCTGCTAAACATTTACATTTTTAATTCAATGTACAAAAATAAACAAGCACCAGGAGTTACAAACAGCCACACTGCAGTCCCAGACAAGCCCCTCCCGCTGCTCCCCAGCACCCAGTCCCTCCTGCACCACAACCAGGCTGCTCCCGGACCCAGCCGGGCACCGTGGCCAGGACCAGGGTGCACCCATGACCCCTGCCCAGGGCCGTGCAGCACCAGCCCCTCGCTGCTACCCCCGGCACAGACACCAGCTGCTGCCCCAGCACCGAGTACAGGCTGGTACGTGCCCACCCACACCGACACAGGGATGAGCACCTGAAGGGCAGATCTTCCCTTCTCATCTCAACGAAAGCTGCTACTAAACGTTTTTCTACAAGATTGGATTGCGTTCTCCAAGTGTTTCAAGGTATCCAGTGGTTTTCACGGGGAGTATAGAAGACAAAATCACCTGTACCACCACCTTTCCAGCAGCAATATGCACGTATACCCTAATACATGTATTTTGTCTGAGAAACTGGTAAGTCCCCTAGACGATAACAGCACACCTTCATTAAGTTTCTCTTCCAAGCCCCATGGACGGCAGCCAGTAGAACACTAAATGTATGTGGAAGTTTTAAGGTCAGCATTGTGTAAATCCTTGCCTTCGGTGTCCCATCAGCAGTCAGCCCCTGCCGGTGTCCCCAGCCCACCAAGGCCACGCATCCACTAATGCTCCTCCCTGTAGGGATGCTCTGCGTGGCCAATGCCCCGGGCCACAGCGGGGACCCCATGGTGGCAGCCACAAGCACCCTGCAAACACCAGGGCACAGGAAAGGCAGAGAGCACAGCAGCAGTCAGGAGACACCAGGTGCCAGGGGGTCAGTGGGCTTGGAGAAAACGCGATTTGAAAAATAATTAACTGGGCTGTGAAACACTGCCATCATTTCCAGTATTAAAAATATAATCTTGCATATTAAAACAAATCAACTGAAATCCAATTGATAACTCAGTGTCCTCAGTATTTCCTCCAGACAGCTAATTTAATTAATCTTTTTGTTCTCTTGGATATAGATTTTAGATTTGCATTCTGCCATCAGAAAATAGCTTGTGCAATACTACAGGATCCTCACAAAGCAAATACATTTGTACATGGATTGGATTTTATTCCCTTGGCTGAAATGCTGATCATTTAGAAGCAAGAATGTTGCTGCCGCACACAGGATGTCACTCAGGATGTGACAGTTTCCTCTTGTTTCAAACTACTTTAAAAAAAAAAAATCCTTCTTAAATTAGAAACAAAGTATTGCTTTTGATCAGCAGCAGCAGAGACTGCAAGCACGCTGGGCCCGATCCGGTTATCTGCGAATTTCACTTTCAACTCTGACGGAAATTAAATGGAAATTAAACACGGTGCGGCAGAATTGCTTCCCTACAACACGGTCGAGGCGCTAGGGCCCGCTGCTGCACTGGTGCTGCTCCTGCCCGTGTTCCCAGGGCCATCAGGGCCCAGCCCCGCAGAGCAGGACCCCCAGGGCCGCTGGCCCCAGCAGGGCGGGCTCCTCTGGAGCTGCACGGCTTCGGCCCGAGGAGACAGCCTGCCGCCGAGCTCCTCGCGAGGGGTCAATTTTTTTTTTCAACATAAGTACGATAAGACATCCCTCCCTTTCATTCAGCTACACTGGCTTCATTGTTGCCTGGTTATTTTGCGAAGCTGAAGTGAATACGTGCAAATAGAAGAATCCAGTAATGCAGAGGCACAGACCCGAAATTGCATTTTGTGGGAACGTTTGAAAAAGTCAGGCCAGACTGCAATTTTTCCAGGTATTTCCAAGGCAAATCTGGATTGGACCCAAATCTGCAGTGGACCCTAAATTAGCTGCCTTTTCTCAACCTGTGCAATCCTGATAACTTAACGTGAGAGGGGCACATCCCATATTGCTTCAAAACTCACTTATCCCTGACTCTCCTATGTTTGTCTTGGTAGAACCGTGCTTGAATAACCCATTTGTTGGGCTAACATAACATTTTGCTTGGCTTGCAAGCTGTATCTGGGTAAACGCACATTTCCCCATCTCATTTTTTGATCGTTTTCTTCTGCAGGCATTTAATTGGGCTCACAAAGATGTTTGCAGAAGTTTAAATGAGGCATAGTTAGAGCTTTCAAAAATACATATAATTACCCACACCTACAATTTCTAAAGAAAAAATAAGTCTACATAAGCAACGATCCTGAAGGGCTCAGCGGGGTATTTGCAAAGTTTCAGTTAAACATTAGTGGCAGCGCATTTAGAGCTTACAGCAGATAAAGAGACATTCACAGAAGCCAGCAACGTAACATTTCCACATTAGTATCATCGCATCGCCAACTGAACCCACCGCGGTGGTGCAAGGACCAAGGAACATGGGCGATCTCTTCCCAAGAAGCTGAACTCTGAAGTTGTGTGGGGCGTTATCCAGCTCTTTAGAAATGGTGATGTGGCCATACGCCCCGTCCCTCTCCCAAACGGTAACGGGACTCACAACGAGCAAAGTACCACACTGAAATGAGCCGAACGCAGAGATTTTTCCGGAATTCAGGCAAGAGGCAAAGCCTGATAGCTGGGCATAAGGCAAGGCCCTGACGTTACTGTCACAGAGAGCAGTTGGGCACACAGAAAGGCAGGACCTCATCTGCCTGATGAGAGCTGAGGGGACAGAGAAAGCGAGCTCAGAGTGCCCGGACAGCCTCTCACACTCATTTGCTGATCAACAGAAATCCCCGTAAAATAAATGGACATGGAGCTGTATAAGCTTCTGTCAAAAGGATTCAAGGGATAAAGAGGGTTAGACCAGCTTGAACTAGAGCCCTGTGCTGCAGGGATGTGGGCTGCTGGTAACGGAGCGCAAAGGAGGTGAGGAATCGCAGAACTTCTCTTCACTAGCAGCAACAGCACCGATCCTGCAGGAAAGCACGTGGCACTCCTCCCCATGAAGGAAATCCCTTCAAGGCAGTGCTGGAGCCATCCCTGCTCTCACTTCACCTCACGCTCTGCACCCATGGGGCAGCCAGGCCCAAGCAGATCTGGTGAGGGCACCACCACCGCGCTGCCCCCACTGCACCCCGTGCCCCTGCTGCAGCCGTCACGGGGCGAGACCAGGGTGGCAATTCCTCTTACTGTGCAGATTGGACATTTTTCTTAGACTTCTGTGTGCCTTCAAATATTACTCCCATAAGCTGACTATAAACCAAGTAAGGACTCCATAATTCCTGAAAGAAACTTTTTTTTTTTTTTAAGAAGAGGGATGGAAGTGGGGAGGGAAGAGTGTAAAAAAACAAAACAAGCAGGTATATTTCTTGTGGGATATGCACTACAGATGAAATGCAAAGTGAGTCTCACCCTCCCTGGAGGGTCTTTTTTCAAGAGGGAGAATAATAATAATGTAGTAATAATAAGCACTTATATAGCGCTTTACATTTTCAAAGCGCTGTGCAAACATCAACTAATGGGACACGGTAGAATAAGTAGTGTCTAAAATGAGTTTACGTACTGCATTATATTTTTCTACAAAGTGGTTGGGACTGTTTTTAAAATTAAATTCCCTTACATATTGATACTTGTGCAAATGGATTCTCTGCTACAGCAGTGCAACAACAACATTTTTGTATTAGTTATACTTCACAACTTGCATATTTCCAAATTCTGTTTCAAAGCAAATTGTTTACATAGCTTCATAGTCAAAAAGCATACTTTGTTCTAAGAACAATAGGTGTGTTAATCAAGTCCTTAGGATAATGCATCAGACACTTAGAGATACATGCCAGTGTTTTCTAAGAAAAAAAGTGTTTTTTTAAATGTATTAAATCAAAGGGAGTTTTTATGAGAGAAACAAAACAAATATTAATGGTTCTCCATATTCCTGCCCTGAACACAGAATACAGCACACGGGGCCTCCTCGATAAGAGGCTGCCCACAGAGGACAGATGTCTCTATAAGGGACATTGTAAAGTAAGCATCACTTTCTAGTTTTTCCACATGAATTCTACTCTATAAAACTAACTTTCTAGAACAGGGAAGATGAAACAACCAAAAAGCAAACCCAAATATTATGGCCTGAACCGTAATACCAGTGTTTCATTTCACTTTTACGTATCCAGGACCTCAGCATCCAATACATTCACTTTCATCTCCAAGGGTCACTGCTATACCCTCTGCACAAAACCAAGATGGAAAAAAAAATTGAGGTAGAGAAAAGTTGAGACACACACACACACTCACCAGCGGTTTGTGGCAGAGGTATGAAGAGAAGGTGGGAGGAAGCAGAGCAACCCAACTTAACTCTTGCTTGCCAGCCCATAGTATCTCACTGCTGTACAAGCTTTCCACTCCTTATTATCGATAGCTTGCTGGGGAGCAAACCTGGGTGCTTCTGTCACAAGCCACAACCCACTGTGCTACAGCCGCATAGGCTCAGAACAAAAAGGCTGCACAAGACCAAAGTGATCGAAGGACTTTTTTCCCCCCTGATCGCTCAAGCTAAGAATCAAACGCAAGTCAGAAAAATGCATGCTGAATATATCTACCTTTAGGCATGCGCTTAACTGTAAGTATATGAGTAATCCCAGCGGTTTCAGTTTTGGGGATTTTAATAGTTGTATGGTTTTCATAACTACAGGAAAAACCCTTTCCAACAAACTGCCAGTGCGACTCCCTGTTGTACTACACCACAATTACTGGAACATATTTGGTATTTCTCAAGAGGTTCAGATAATGAAGAATCCTCCAAATTTTCTATTAGCCCAAACTTAGGAATTCTGCATCAGGGAGTTAAGAGCAGAACAGACAATGTATGTTAGGTATTGCAAAAGAGAGGCAGAAATATTTATAAAATTTAAAGCTTTTTTCTTTTTAGTAAGGTTGTTCGAGAGCCCAGACTGCAGCCCAACCAATGCTATTGCACAAGCACGCTGAGTTATATAAAGAGCTTTACTTTTACTCCTTTATCTGAGACATTTGAACATTTCTTCATATTTTTCAAACCACAATGTTTTCCCACATCTAAACAAGACAAAAAACAAATAGGAAAACAGACAAAAATCCTATTTTATTCTTTGATGTGTCATCAGTTTAACACTGAATCACGAGCTTCTACCAAAAAAACAGATCAGTATTTACAGTTGCAAAGAATTTTATTTTTTAAAAAATGCAAGGAAAGGTACAATGCCTAGGTTGCTTTGGGGGTTTTGTTTGTTTTCTTACTGGCAAACAGCCGGTTCTTGTATTTCTTATGACTACTTGTATTTCCTATGACTAAAAACAAGCAAACAAGAAAGAAAAGAGCCCTTTCGCAGCAGGGAAAGCCACGTAAGTTTGCCACATCAGAAATATTCCCAATAAGAAAGCAAATGGTTGCAACCAGTGCTGCGCTAGTAGGGGCCATGCACACCGACAGCTCGGCTGGCCCAAGGACACTTGCTCTGGACAGCAGCCTTTGTCCTCGGCAAGATCATTGCTGCTTTGCAATTCCAGAAACGCTCGTGAGCCTGTACACTAGGTTACTGGGCACAGCAGTATTTGGGTCAGCCATAGTCAAAATGCTCAGAGGAGCACAGTTGTAAATCAGCAACAAGAACCGCAACTCACCACCATACAACCACCCATTTGGTCTCATACGTGCAATGGCGGCACAGCCTATGGTGAGAGCTGCACACGGATAATAAATCTCCCTTCTTCTTGAGAGGCATAATCTAATTTATTAGTGGCATTATCTTCACTCAGTTGGGGTGGAGAAGAGGATGGCTCCTCGGCTAGGTCTCCTCATGCGGGGCGGCTGCCAGGAGCCGAGAGCCCCCAGACAAGCTCCAGCCTGCGGGGCCTCCCCTGCTCCCCCAAACCTGGCCCCCCATAAACCTGGGGCCTGCAGGCAGGAGCAGAAAGTGGTGGTGGCAGCACAGCACAGCAGATCACTGCTGCCACCGGCACGCTGCGAGGCCTGCACTGCTGCCAGCAGCGCGCTGCCCGGCCTACACCGCCTTTCTCTCACAGCGGTTATGACACAAAGAGTGAAACAGGACCCACAGCCGGCACCGCCATGGGCCTCGGTGAGGTGCTAAGGTGGTGCCGACATGGAGCAGTCCCTCCAAACCCACCAGGGCTCATCCTCCCCCAGGCCTGGCTCAGCACAGGCCGAGCGGCAGCCGGCTTTCCAGGCAGGGCTCTCCTGAGGAGGGGGCGTTGGAGGGTACTTTCTTGATATGACAACAGCAGTTTAAAAAACAACCTTCACATGAAAACAAACCCGTTGGGGCGTGCTAATGCAAGAGAATCGAGTCAAGCCCGGCAGCAGACAGCAAGGCAGACGGGGGAGCAGATGCAGGCTGCCTAATAAAAGCCCACCGCTCCCCAGCGGGCAGGGACTGCCCTCCTGCCAGCCCGCTGGGGCTTCCCAGCGCTTTCAGAGCACCCCAGCAGGATGGCCCTGTGTGTTTCCTCCTCCCCATTGGGCCCCACTGAGAGCAGCCATGGCCAGGGTCCTGCTGGCCCCTCCTGGCGCACCCAGGCCCCTCTCCCAACAGCCCTGCAGCTGTTTTCTGTACAACAAGGCGCAAAACCACCAGAGGCTGAGGAGAAAAAACCTCAGTCGAAGGGCTTCCAGCTGGGGAAGGAGGCCAACCTGAAGCTCTCCCCACAAAGCAAAGCTTCCCAAGGAGATGCAGGAAGGGAAGCAAGGCTGCTGAAGGGACTCCACCAACAACCTTTTCACAGGCTACAGATACGATGAAGGCTGGGCTTCATTTTTTTTCCAGACAGAAAGCTTGCAGCAGACCCTGCTCCTGCAGGCAGCAGCTCTGACACAACCCACACACAGCCCCCTTGGGCACCCCCCAGGGCTTTCCGACCTCCACCTTTAAGTCCCACTCCAAATTTACTCACATTAAGATGAAGAAAAACAGCAGCTTTCTTTTGAGCATTTATTGAGGACAAAAAAATAGCAACTAAAATAAACCAAAACAGAGCTTTAAAGCAGCTCTCATGTATCTGTTATTAAGCAGGAAAGAAAAAAGCTTTAAATCAAGGGGACCACATCAATGGACTCCACACACAAGCATTAGGTGAGACTCAGTACCAGATCTGAAGGCAAGGATTCAGTTTTGTTTTAAAGAGGCTCAAAATACATTGTACCACACTCCCGACTGATGTTCAGAATCTAACTGAAAGTACTTATTTATCTTTAAGAAAATCCTTTCAAGGCAACAACTTTCTCACCCAGACTTGGCTACTACACTCTACATAAACATCAGTGCCAGAAACACACCATTTTTGCCAAATAAATCTAGAGAAAGAGAGATGCCATTCACACACAGACCTCCTTCTCTACTTCTCCATCCCAGGATTTTCAGTACTCTGCCACATCCCACATGCCCTCTGGGGGAACAGTCTGGTCAGTAAAAGCAAAGAAATTACGAAGGGCAAGGCATGCCATTTTCCTAGAAATAAAGGAGACCATGAGCAAATCGCCTGGCTAAGGCATCTCCACAGAATTCAGCAATAAATAATATACAAGCTTGGCATTACTGTGCATGTAGCTCAGTATCTCTTCACTCATCTGAGTAGTCTAACAAAACAAGATAAATTTGAACAAGAGCTTGAATAAGTAAATTAAAGCAAAGCTGCATTTGCCTATCAAGCAGTTAGCCAGAAGGCTGCTGCTTTTTTCAGGGCAGGCAGGCTGGCGCTCCAGAAAAGCTTCCTTGCATCTTGCAGCCAGGTTAGTTGGCCTTAAAAAAAAAGACAAAAAAAAAAAAAGAAGCTACTATCTAATCCTTCAGACCTTCTCCTTCACACACTGTTTGTAGACATTTCACATAATGTTTGTAAACACATTATGCTATATTTGTGTGCATTTAAGTAAGCTATCTTGAAAACCTCCTTTACCTCCTCTTCCCTCTCAAACCCTGAGCAATCAGACATTCTCACAAGCCAAGCTCAGAGGCTGCCATGATCATAAAATAGTTGAAGCTCCCAGAACTAATGACTGATCACAGTTGTTCTCACATTTCTCTTCAATAAACAAAGAACAGCCATAAACCACAACAACTATACTCCTCTAAAGAGAAAATACTGGCACTGTCTATTAAGAGCCAAAAATATAATTTGTTTAGGTGCCTTACATTTCTAGTGTTTTCTTTTCCACTTATACTTAATTATACTATTTTCCATAGAGCGAGATTTACTTTTCAGATTCATTTGTCCTCTCAGTCTTAAACTAAGAGTTAAAAAAAAAAATAAGGACACAGCTAAGGGTAAGTTAGCACCTGTGCCAATACTTTGCATCTAATCATCAGACACCTTCCATACCCAAGTGCCAGCAACAGATTTCCTGGTTTGTTTGGTTGTGTTTTTTTGTTTGGTTGGTTGTTTGTTTTTCTATTTTATTTCCATCTTTCTCCACTTAACACTTCTGCCTCCCCAAGTATTAAGCTCACCCTTCCACTGTGTGCTTTCTCCACCTCCTTTAGCTTTTCAAGTTTTAGGGACAGGAGGTTGAAAGGATGAAGAATGATGGTCGGTTTTGCTCAGGCACTGGCTTGCCCCTGTTTGGGTTAATGGCTGATAAATACGGGCCGAGTCTCTAGGGTTTCCCACAGTGCCATCAGGGAGCTCCCAGAGCACTGGTGCATCCCCTGCACCTCAAACACACCCAGGGCTCTGCTAGAAACTCCATCAGCAGCAGCCCCAGAGAGCTGGCAGAAGCAGCAGGAGATAAGCTCTGCAGTGTTGGGTGCCAAGTGACTGCTCCCCCCAGATCTTTTCTCTGCTTTCTCCCTCAATTGTGACTCAAAACCAGAGAATAAAATCCCATCCCTTTTGAGATCAGTGAAAAACACTGCCACCAACAAAAAATAGGACAGAGGCTTCATCCCATAGCTGATAAATACCTAGACTTGCTCATGGACCTCCAACATCAGCAGGGGTCTCAGCATCTGCAGCTCTCCAGTAGATCTAGAAGACTTGGGCTTGCATCGCTGGTTTACATCTAAACACTCAAACCAGCTCCAACATCAAGGGGCAAACTTCCCCTTATCCTAAAAACTGGAGCAGCGTGTCCTAGATACTCCCCCAGTGAAGGGCTCTGGCTCTGCAGGGCACCAACCACCCTCTTTTCAAAGGGCACAGCAGATCTTTATTACCAGCACCTTGATTAACACTCAGTTGCCCACCATGTGAGACAAGTCCCAGCAATCACCACGCGAAGGGCTTGGCTACCTTCCCTCCATGGCAATGCAGAAAAACCTCACCCCAGCCAGGTGAGGATCATCAAGAAATACTCAGAGCTGCTAAATTAAGCCCTGCTGGAAATTGCCTGGGGTATCCCTCCCACCCCTGAATTATCTGTAGGCAAATCCTCTGTAAAGCCAGTAACAGCTTCTGTGAGTCCAATCAACTGAGTGGTTAAACTTGTGCATTCAGCAGGCAACCAAGGGAGGGATGTATTTTAATGGTAGATGTGGAAACAAAGGAATTTTGATTAGCCTTGGGACTAGAGGGGGTAAAAATACTGTTTTAGGATTTTCCCAGGATATGCATATTAAGAACTTGTCTTTTTGCCCTCTGTGTAATTTTTTAATATTTGGAAAGCAGAATTAGGCCACATTTGACCAAACCTCCAGAGCCTTGTAGGAGCCAGCAGAGACTGGAGCACAGCGACTTGCTAACTCTTGTGCTTTTACCCATAATGGGGTTTTGCTGGTGAGCAGCGAGGTTTTTGTAGAGCTATCGAAGGCTTAAAAAAACTGCTTCTCTACAAGCAGGGACCTTACCTCTGCTTTGCTTTAAAACACGTGCATGTTGTTTGCTTTCTCTAATACAAGCTGGAAATAACTTCTGCATCAAGCAACTCCAACTGCTACACTTCTGAAACAGCCCTCCTTATCAGCACCAGGCCCAAGGAGAACGCGGCCGTCGGCGATGCTGTGCAGAGAGCCGAGACCAGCCCCACCAGAAATGCCCAGGAGAGCACGAGACCACGGCAGGGCTCGTCTTTCCCCAGCAGAGCCACGCAGGTCTCCGCCGTGGCCAACCCCACCAAGACGCCGCTCCTCTGCCCCCACGGCGGTGTCGCAGCCATACCTGCCCCTCTGCTGCGGTACCCATCGGTCCTTTACTGTTTGTTCAGCTCTTGAAAGTGCTGTAAAGCATTCGCCGTTCACCTGTCACACAGCACAAACTGATCCCTTTGAAATGAAAATCTAAAAGTAAACGTGTTAGTCGACGTCTGCGGCTGCAACAAGCACCAATGCCAGAGCGAGCCTCCAGGCAGGTAATTCACTGCAACGCTAGGCTGGCGAACAACACTATGTTTTATTTAATTAGGATGAACAGAAGAGATAAACCTCACAGCAGGGCGGGTAATGACAACATTTCAAAAATAATTCATGCCCAGGTAACAAAAGGGCAAATTTCAATTACATAAAAAGCTAAAAAAAGTTGACTTAATACATCCAAGGGGGAAAGTGAAAAAAAAAATAATAATAATTGTAGTGCATATGATTAACAAGTGGCATTTACAAGCTCTGCAAATTGGTCTTTCTGGTGCCTAATCTGCGGTCGGAAAGGAAAAGGTTTTAAGAAACGCAAACAATATAATGAAGCTGCTTATCGCACGACCTGGCTAGGCACTGCGGCGCTGCCCAGCGCGAACCAACCACCCCACATCCCCGCTCCGCCACCACCTGCCTGCTCCCTGGCTCCATCGGGTCCCTTTCCATGTTGGAGAGGACAAACCATGGCAAGGGGGTTGAGCTTGAGCCTTCTTTAGCTGCACATGTCACAAGAGACCATTCCCAGTGTCTCCCCACCCGTCTGCTCTCTAGAATAAAGTGACTCTGCTACACCACCCCAGTTACCTGGAGTAAATATATCCACATATATATCCATAGGTGTTGTCCAGGAGATGTAGTACTTTGAACTTTTATTACCTTACTTATCTAACAGAAGTAACCAGCATTCCTACATTTACTACCGGACAGCAGAAGACGTACAGGAATCTAGTTCTGGGTCTAAAAGTCCGCTGAGTGAACGTGGGCACTGCAGAAAGCTCCGAGCTGGCTCTCACTGGGCTACAACACGCACCTGAATCCTCACAGCCCACGTACAGTAACGCATGCACAACACCAGACCATCCCCTCCAGCACCATTTGTCAGTGAGGATTTAGCAGAAGTCTGTAACAGGCTTTATGTTATTAGTATTTCATTACTCCGGTGCATTTAGCAGGATACAGCGGAACATAATAGCCATCCTTTTTCAGAGGCATTTAAGGAGAATACTGATGGAGTGATGAGGGGTTGGTGTAGGCACTTTTATAAGACAGTTCAATTACTGTGGGTAATTAATAATCTTTTAGGAGAATATTAAAATACAAGAAAAAAATACTATCTTTTGCAGATTGCAGGCTAACAAATGAGACCAAGAGATTACCTCAAACAAACAAACAAACAAAAAGAGCACAGTGTGTGTTGCATTTTCCAAATGTTGTCATGATTGAAAATGTTGATTCCCCAGACTGGGGGGGAGGGGGGGCAGAGGATAAAGATGAACAAGTTCAGTAAAAAATAACTGAATAAAATTAAGAGCACATTTATCAAAACTGAAATAAATATTAATTCTACAGCATGAGAAAGCATCGCCATTCACAGAGCCAGCAGGTGAGGGAGGGTGTTTAAAATGTTTATTCTAACAATCGAGCAATGGGTGCCACCCCAAGCTCATAGCTTAGTGGCTTAGTTCATTCAGCCAGGCTGAAAGCACTTATCCAGGTTTAACATAAAAGTTAATTTGGCACCAAACAATAGATAAAACCAAGCCAAAGCCCCATCTATGATAAGACAATTTGTGTTTACGCAAGCTTAATGCATCTCCAAAACATCATTTTTATATCCAATTCAGAGGATGGCATGAACATCTGCTTTCACTTCAAGACATTAATTTTCAATTATTGAAGAAAAACAAAATAAATCCTGACAAATTACTGGTAACTGTGGAATCTTTTGTTACTCTATTAGTTTATAATAGTAATTTAGAAATCCTACAATTAACGTCCTAACAAGAGCTCTCTGATTATTTTTTTTGCATGTGTCATCTGAAGCAATTCAGTAATGAATGATGTTCTGTAGCTTGCTCTGATTTTACACGGATACTTTTGAAGAAAAAAAAAAACAAAAAACGACACGTTCTCTGAGAGTCACTGCTGCTGCTTGGTATTTGCTTTTCATCAATGGCATTAGAGGCAGCATCACTAAAAACGTGGGAATTCTATTTTCTCTCCGTTTGTATTTAAACCCTTCGCATTGCCTTTTCCACCCTTTTCAATTTTTGGCCACATTTATTAGTTATGCTTGCCAGGACCAATGGGAACAGACCACAATTAAAAGGTGTTTGCACACAGGCATGAGTTTCAATCAGCAAAACCAGTTAAATACCACACAGATCCTGTCCAGGAAACCATACCGGAGGGAGAAAGAGGAAGGAAAATGGGACTTGTGGAGTTCAGGGGAGAACGCTGCTAGGCTTGTATCAAAATACACGCTCAAAAATTAAAAACTGCAGGCTAATCCCCAAAGGCAACGCTCGCTGTACTGCATGGATTCAAACGTTCTCATGGCACCAGCCCCACGACGAAACACCAACATCTCCAATTATTCCTAATCCCCCAAAAGCTACACTTGATAAAGAACAATCAAGAGTGTAATCTTATTTGATATGAGTTTTATCAATTTTAGCTGCTGCTTTCACTGTATCAATAAAATTCCACCGAAACTTGAATGAACTGTAAAATTAAAGGATAATCGCACAAGTCTCTTGTATTTGGCAATTATGATTATACTTGTCAAAATTTAATTTGTAGAATGTACTGTTCCAGTACCTGCAGGTTCTTCTCTATCAACTGGGAAAAAAAGAAAATTATATCTTTAAGACAAGTATGAAAGACATTGTTACTTCCACAGTCAACTCTGTAACTGAGCTCCGACATTGTATAATTGACTTTGCAAGCAGAACAACAGCAATATAACAAAGAAAATGTCAGTGTTTTCACAGCGCTAATCTATAGCACTAGGAGGGCCTCCTGCTGTCAGCCAGAGCTGACAATACAATAGCTTTCAAAGGGATATTACCATCACGCTTTTATTCTTGACATCAATCAAGACAAAGAGAATCCTTTTCACAAGACATTAAAAATCAAACCTTTGTATGAGCAGATAGGTAAAACAGCATTCCTTTAAAGAAGATCATTCATAGCAATCAACTAATTGGAACTCAGCAAATGGCTGAAGTATTTTTATTTACTTTGCAGATAACGAAGTAGTGAACAACCCCCTTTTTTTTCCCCTTGACTGACACAAATGAGGCAGGTAGGGTGTGAATCAAAAGTTTCTATCAGCATTTTTGCCAACTGAAAGCGAAAAAATATGACAGCAATTCTGCAACTTCAAGTAGGATAACAAATCTAGACTTAATTAGTGCATTCTTTTGCAAAACAGTTTGATTACTGACTAGCACGTTTATGCACAAAACACCCGCGCAACCTGACAGCAATTTGCAGAACTGTCAAATTCAGCAAGCAACGTGCACTGATGCTGGAAACCTTGTGCCACCGCCAGCCCAGTCCCCACAAACTGCCTCCAAGTCATTCCTCGACTGCATGATGTGGGACCTGAAACCTACGGCTCCGCTACCAGACCTGCGCCTTTCGCAGCCGTGCTTCCGCAGGATTGCTTCCAGAGGCAGCGGGCTGCAAGGTGCAGCTACAGCTCAACAGGCACCAGCAACACCTGCCCTGTGCCAGCCCCATGGCGAACACAGCACGCAGCCCTCCCCAGAGCTGGTGACCCACAGCGAACCTCCGAGGGTGCCCGCCTGGATGTGGCTGGGACCGCTCGTAGCAGGGCATGGGGAACTGCTGGGATGTTCTCCGCTCCATGATGGTCTGGGGTGCAAACCTTGGGGCTTTAGCAGCACTAAGGAGCGTCCAGCTCTCCTTGCAGAGCTCTGGCAAAGCCACCAGCAGATCGGACTACTGGCAACAGGGCAAAGGAAGGTCCTGCATTGAGGAAAAGTACTTCAATGGGCCCGGCTATGATGTGAAGGACAGCTTCAGAACAGGCAAGTGCGTGACTCCAAAACCACCGCCACCACGTTTTCCCCGAATGGTTTATGCTGCCAGCCAACAAAGGCTCGGTCCCTCCTACTTCTCTTCTGCCCTGCCTGACCTGCAGCAACCTTTTTGGAGCCAAGGAGAGCCCTGTCCCCAGCCATCAGCTCCAGGGCTGAGCGCCTGGCGGCCTGCACAGCCAAACCGATGGTTAAACCAAAGCAGCAGCGTGTTGTGCTGCAAGTGATGAATCCGCACCAGGGGAAATTCCACGGCTACTGCTGGAGTTACAGCTGCAGTAATTACTGCAACTTTCTGCGAGGCTGAACCAGATGCCTCATCACACAGACCGTGGGGCCACAGGACCCGCAGGTTTGCTGCCATCCAGTTCTGGGTTACAATTGCTTAATTTTAAATTACGTGGATCTAAAGAGTTGTCAGCATTTGATACTTCCGTCAGAGTCGGTTGCTTCTTTAATGTCAAAGGCAGCATCACTCACAGTTAATGCGCAGGCAACTTGCCTTTTGCATGCAGAATCATCCCTTTCATCACAGGCACACACCGGCTCTATTTCAGTATGTAATCTTTCTGAATGAAAAAGGATGCGCAAATCTCACTAGTGGTTAATAAATACCAAGGTTACCATACAAAGTGAAATAAATATACAGAAAAGAGAAAACCGGCAAATTGTTTGAAGTCCTAAATGCTACACATATATCCACATAATTTATGCCTGTTTTCTTCTCAGTTGAATTGGGAAACCTGTGACCTCAGAGTGCCTTTATTTATTACATCTCAATTATTTCCATGGAAACGTGTACTGTGGCAATCTACTGGGTTGCCAGCTCCCTAGACCACAAAATGTATATGATGGACTTCTTAAAAGCAAAAGATACGTACGGGCATAAGAAAAGGAAGAAATTCTATATCCTGTAGACATATATACGAGTTGCCTCCTATTATTGAAAATTTCACCCGCATTCAGCCCCTTCCTTACATTCCCTATTAGTCAGCTCACGCTAAGACCTGTAATTTACAGCCAGTTTATACTGAAGCTGAAAACACGTTTTTTGTGCCTAGAGACTAGAGGAATATTTAGAATCTCGGAGAACCGGGCTTCACCCAGCTCCCTGTTGCAAAGACATTCTAGATATTTCTGCATCGCATGGAAAGCGTTTCTTGGCTGTGACTTGCAACTAAGTTACCTGCTTCAATTCCTAAAAACGCTCCTGGAAATAGCGACCTGCTCTACCTCAGAGTTAGGGATAAATTTTCGTTACGCAGCATCAATAGCCTGGGAAAGAGATCGCTGCCTGAAAAGTAACGAGGTAGAAAACAAACGAATAAATGTAAATATTGGATACCGTTATGTAACGAGGTGCCAGCGTTTATTAAGCGGGCTTGCAGCGTGCGTACGGTCTCACTGACGTACGGCCGCGTCCCCAGCGTTAGGCGTGACACTGAGGCACAGACACCCCAGGCTGCAGGGGCCTGCGGGCTCGGGGCGATCCCGTGCCCGGGAAAGTCGTGACCTGAGGCCTGGGCGGCCGCTGGCAGCCTGTGAGCCTTGAGCCTCCTCGTTTCCAGCCCCGTTATTTCAGCGCATCTCCTGGAGATCGCTCCGGCTCTGCCCTTTCTCCTTCCCTGCTGTGTGGGGGCCCCGCACCGCCCCGCACCACCACGCCAGGCGGCTGCCGCTCGGCGCAGGGCTGAGGGCGACGCCGGGTCGGGGGCAGCGAGTTGAGCTTGCTGCGTGCCGGCCCAGGGCTGGCTTCACCAGAACTTCGCAAACATTTGCAGCTGCTTCCCCGCGCCGTGCTACCTGCGGGTACCCCGCGAAGCACAGAAAATGGCCCCGCACCTGAGGGGTCTCAGCGCCAGCCCGGCTCTCGTCTGGTCCAGGCGCGAGTTCCTGCACCACGAGCCGCTCCCGGGCTCTGCCTTCCTGGCGGGCACCGCGACCCCATTGTGCCTCCCAACAAAGCCCCGAGGGCGGACAAAGCCGCGGGGCCCCGGAGCGGCCTCCCCGCAGCGCCCCGGCCGGGCCCGGCCATTGTTCCCGCAGTCCCGGGCGGCTCCGCGGGGCTGCGGCCGCCGGGCTTCGTCCTTCGCCCCCCGCCCCCGCGCCGGGCACCGCCGCCAAACTTTTCCCTCTGCGGGCGGCGCCGCGGGGCTCCCGCTCCCCGTCCCCGTCCCCGCCACCCCGCCCCCGGCCTCCCGCAGCCCCCCGCGCCCCGCCCGCCCCCGCGGCCCCCGCGGCGCTGCCTCCCCTCCCGGCGGGGCCGGGGGCCGCCATTACGCGAGGGCGCCGCGGCCGCTGCCCCTCCGGGCGCCGCCCGGCCCGCCCCCGGCGCGGGGCGCGGAGCCCCCAAGATGGAGGCGGGCGGGCGGCGGCCCCCTCCCCGCCGCTCCCCTCCCGGCCGGCCGGGCCCCGGGGCGGGGGGGGATTCGCAATCCCCGCCAAGCCGGGCCCCGGCCCTGATTGGCCGCGCCGCGGAGGCTGGAGCGGCGGCGGCGGCGGCTGCCCGGGGCCGGGCGCGGTGCGGGGCGGTGCGGAGCGGAGCGGCGCGGGGCCGGGCGCTTACCTTTCACCGAGCGGGGCTTGGCTTGCTTCCTCCTGGACATGTCCGGGCGCCGCTGGCTCGTCCTCCCGGCCGCCGCGTCCTGCTCCGGCCCCTGCCTGCCCTGCCCTGGCCCTGCCTCGCGCCCCTCCAAACTTTCGCTCGGCTCCGCCGGGAGCAGCGGCGGCAGCGGGACCGCTCAGTGGGATCCCCCGCTCCCTTTGCCTGTTGCAATGCGGCAAGTTCAGCTGCTCTTTCCACCCCCTCGGGCACCTAGAGGTTCTCCCCCCGGGGGAAAAAAAAAAAAATAGAAAAAAAAAAATCACAGGCGCAACAGTTGCAATTTCTTTTTTTTTTTTTTTTTCCTTTTTTTCCTTTCCTCCCCTTCGATGTGCAAATAATGCCGAGCCCCTCCGCGCCCCCACCCGCCTTTTTGTTCTCTTTAAAGTTTGCAGGCGCCCTGCGGCTCTCAGTCCGGCTCGCACTTTCAGAATAATACAAAAAAGCCGTGCGGGGCTGCGGAGGGGAGGGGGGGGGGGGAGGAGAGGGAGGGCGCGGGGAGAATCGGCGGCTAAAAATAAGCCCGGCGACGGCCCCGACAATGCGAGGCGCTCCGGGGGTGCGCCCCGGCGGCGATTTTCCTAAATCCTCCCCGCGGCCGCGCTCGGCTCCCCCCCTCGGCTGCCGGCCGTGCCCGCGGGCTGCTCTCCTCTCCCTCTCGCTCTCCCTCTCGCTCTCCCTCGCCGCGTCCTCTACTGGGGCCGCGCTGCCCGGCGCGGTGCCCGCCGAGGGGCTGGGGGGGCTCCCGGCCGCCGGCCGCGCTCGCCGCCGCCTTCCCCTGCGCGCACGCACTTGGCGGCCCGGGCCGGGCGCCGCTTCGCATCGAGGCCGGGCCCGCTAGCTGCCTCCATGGGTCATCCGCTGCGAGGCGGCACCGCTCCTGCCTTCATCGCCGCTGCCGCTGCTGCCCTGGGTTTTTATTTTCTTTAGCTCTCGCCAGCCTCCCTCTCTTTTCTTTGTCCTGGCTCCTTTTCCTCCTCCCGATCTTGCTGCTGGGGCTGCAGTGCAGACACACATAATAAAGCCAGGCTTGGCTGGAAATGTAGCTGAGTCCCAGCAGGAGGATGTGAGGAGTGGAGTCCCGGCGGGGGAGCGCTCTGATCCCGTAGGGAGCCCCGCGCAGCCTGCGCCGATCAGACGGAGAGAGAGCCAACAGCACCGAGCCATGGACGGCCCGGGAAATACAGCGGCCGCCCGCAAAACCAGGACCCGCCGCCAGCGCGGACCGGACTCGGCGCCGCCGCCGCCCGCGGAGCCGCGCGGGGCCGGGGCAGCTGCGGGAGCCGCGGGGCGGGGAGGGGGGGGGCTCCGCCCGCGGCCGCTGCCGGGGCCGGGCCGGGCCGCGCCGGGCGAAGTTTGCCGGGGGAGCCGGAGGGGAGCCGGAGGGGCCCTGCCCACGCTCCGCGCCCGCGGAGGGCAGGAAGGGGCCGGGGGGCCGCGGGGAAGGCGGCCGGCGGCGGGGCTGCGGGCTGCGGGGCTCCCCGGGAGATGCCGCCCTGCCCCGGCGATCGCCCCGCCGGGCGCTCAGTGCGGCTCCGGGCTGGGGCAGCCCCGCGGTGCGGGGACAGCGGGCACGGGGTGCCGGGGCTGCAGCCTGACCCCCCGTAGGCCTGGCGCTGGGAAAGCGTCTGCCGGGGGGCTTTGTGTGGGTTCGGGGCTCTCTTTGGCTTTGTTTTTCTTTTTCTTTTCTTTTTCTTTTTTTTTTTTTTTTTTTTTTTTTTTGCCCCCCACACCGAAAGAAACCCAAATAATTCCGGAGTGGGTTAGTTGTGTGATCCAGCAAATTCAGAATGTAAGTGTGAAGACGTCTGTTAGCACAGCGTTAAATTTCGATGGATGTGCAGTGGTGACTTTCTACTTTCTTAAGGTTTGTCAGAAACTGTTGGGCTTATTGTTATAATCAAGGTCTCCAGTTCCCTCCTACACTTACCACTCCACATTACCACCACAGACTGGACGTACAGTAACAAATGTTTCCTGTAACACCACTCTAATTAAGATACACTTCCTCTACATCACTGCACTAAGCATCATCCAATTCTGGGGTCAGGAAGGCTAACCCAGGAGAAAGAAGGATTTTAAAAGAGCATGTGGCCCCAGTTCTGACACCGATACAAAATGGGGATAAGTCTAGTCAGCAGAAACCCAGCATTACGAAAGCTGGTGTGGTACCTGTCTCTATAAAGACATAACCAGAGCTGACGGGGAAAAAAATGTGATGATATTTGTATCCTGAAAAAAAAAAAAAAAAAAAAAAAAAAACCAGAATCGTTGGCAAATTTGGTCAACATGACCCTAGATTCATATCCGTTCAGCATCTGAGTTGGATCAGGAACTGAATTACTTCTGTTTCCTCGTCTTATTGGAGAGCCTTACTCCCCAGGCTATCAGATTGTTTCTGTTCTCTCACTGGCCCAATGAATATTTAATTATTCTTACAAAGCAGAACAGCTTCAGCAGGACAGATTCTCATCCAGAATGTGCCGGCAGTTGGGCACTCTCGGAGGAGTTCAGAGACCCACATTCAAATCCCTGTGCACTCAGGCAAAGAGGGGATTTCAACCTTAGTTGTACACGTTCCACTTGGCGAGTAATTCACAAGCCCCGTTACCGTCCTCAGTCCCTTTGCCATCCACAGCCCTGCCTCGAAATTCTCCATGCTTTTTTAAAAATATCTGTAAATGCCCCGATTAAAATGAAGTGTTTCTACAACTTCTTCCTTTTTTAAAAAGGAAAAAACCGCTAAGAAGCCTGTATGGTTTTGTTTTAAATGAATGAACAGAAGCATTTTTCACCTTCTCTCTTGCCAGAGGGCCAAAAAGAAGGTTTATTTGTGAGCGAGCCCCTACCTGGTTCGGAGCAGCTGCTGGCAAGGTGAGGAGCCCTGATCGGAGCATCCCGAGCCCCTCCACTGGAAGTGGTTCCAGTTCACTCTCACGTCTGTCGTCAGAGCCGCAGCACCCTTGGAACTGCTGCTGTCCATGCTGGGACCTCCTGAAAGCAGCCGGTTCATAGCTACAGAGAAAGAAAGTGGGAAAACAGGTTCCGAAGTTTAAAAAACTAAAGTGTAAATCCATCTTTAAGTATGGCACTCGTGTGTATAATTATTAATTCATCCCTCTCTATTATCTTCAAACCCAGAACACACAGCCTTCCTCTAGGCCCTGCTCTGTAAGCACATCTTTGTCCCGCAGAGTTTGTCAGCACGTGCCTAAGCGGTCTGCAGCCTGATTTTTGGATGTGCCAGTCCCGCGTGCATCCCCTCCAGACATATGTACGGGGAGCGGGTTCGCTTCCCCCGCCTTGTGGTCCTGCAGCAGCTCTTGAGCAAAGAAAGCCCAGAACCATGCTGTGGTGCCCAGAGGAATGCAGAGCTCACCCGTCTTTACGCTGTTCCCAGCACCAGAACTTAAAATCGTATCGTCACTCAAACAGGTACATTCCAAAACCACTAATAACAGGGGAAGGCTTCACAGACTTCATTAAAACATTGAAGGCAAATGACGCCAGCCTGTGTGCTAATTTAATGAAAATACATTTAATAATTCAATTTAAATATGGTAATTTAAGAGGGCAGTAAAAATACATTTTGATCCTACTATCAGTCTTGCTTCCTCACGGATGCCTTCCCTCTTTATTCCGGGAAGTTTAATGAAAGCACAGAAAGCGGAGCTGCTCTCTCTGGGAGAGAGCCGAGTACCTTCCCCGTCTCTGGCCAACTCCCGTGCTCGTTGGGGCAATTTGGATGTCACTTTCTGCTCTGGAGAAACCCTCCTGGGGATGCTGCTGGTGAATATTATATATGATACCGCTGCCGGTGAGAGGAAACCCCTCCTGTGATGCGGGGAACCCCGAGCTCAGCACAACTTGTCCAAAGCCGGGGTTTGCTGGCGGTGGCCACTGACACCTTCCCAACACGCAGCCCCTCCGCCAGTTCCCACCGGAGCCCAGCGAAGGTGCCGCCATGCTCACACGCAGTCCAGGGGGACACGGTGTGTGTGCATGTGAGTTCTAAAGTTTGGTGACAGTTTCAGGAAGATGCTGCCCGCAGCACTAGCGAAAACCTGCCCTTTTCTCTTTGGAAGGCCCTTACACCGTGCCAGTGTCTCATGACATTATTCCACTCACACCTGGTGGAGAGCATCCAGAATATTGGCACTTTGGCTTAAGTTTTCTCAAAGCAATTATGTTTAAGACAGAGAGAACATCAGCTCAGGCAGCTCTGCCCTGGCAGTGGTATGGGAAACTGGTGGCAAGGCCACAGAGTGGGGCAATGCAGGCAGCACCCCCAGTATCTCTGCAGCATGGAGTTATTGGCATTCAGGACTGAGAGCAAAAACTTGCACATTTCTATATATAGGCATAATTATTTTAAAAGTCTGTCAGAATTAGCTTGAAATTACAACTTGCATAAAAATAGCACAGTTGTGTGAAAACAGAAATAAAAACTTCCTGAAAGCTGGGGTCTTCACGGAGGACCTTACTTCCTTAGTCCTGGAGTTAGGCACCCAATGGGCTGAGCCTGCTTCGAGAAACACAGCCCCGGTCAGGATTAAAACTTTCTAAAGTCGAAAAGAGGAATGTTTTCAACCCATAAAATGACACTGACCAAGCAGGCAGCACAGGGAAAATCATCAGAATTGTGAAGCAGGGAATCAACCTTGAATTAAAGAACGTGTCTCACGTGTAGACATGAGATGCTCGCAACACCTAGGAGAAATGTGGCAAAATGCTAACACCCCCAGAAAAGCCAGACAGCGATCAGAAGGTTTACAGGAGAGATTGAGCAGAGCATGAAGGGACACCCATCTCTAGCCCCAGCGGGGCTCGGGGGGCAGGAGGCAGCCGGGCAGAGCCGAGGTGGGCGAGCACCTGAGCTCTCCATGGCAAAGGCAGCCAGGCACACGCAGGAAGCTGTTAAAGGCCTGGATTAGTTCTTAAAAAGAGATAATGTTTCCAAAACACATGGCACAATGCACTCATTCAGCTGAGAGTCAAATGTCACAGTGGATACAGCTGCAAGACAGTGTCGCTCTTTATTTACAGTAAAATATGTCAAATGGGGAACACAAAGGCATCGTCAGGGTAAACATGGGACCGGAGCACACAAAGGCAGGCGGCATCCACGGCGCATCAGACAACCCGAATAAAAGCCCCGACTACAATACCAGCCCAGTTTCTATGGTGTTTGCGAGTTAATGCCTCAGAACGTTTTACATAAATAAATAACTGGCATCCCCGCTTCAGTCACAGCAGAGGGCTGCCACGGCCTGAAATTCAGGCTACCGAGAGCGGCAGAGGCAGGAGCCAGGGGCGCTCCGGAGGGAGGACACGCACAGGGAGGAAAAGCTTCACCCCAAGGGCTGCTGGTGGGGCTGCGGGCAGGACCCAGCGCCAGTGTGCGTGCCGCTTTGTGCTTTGGCAACTTGCAGTAAAACAGGGGCAAGCTGTTGTCCACGAGAACTGAAAAACCACAGGGAAGTTACACTGCGAAACATCTTCCCATGTGCAGGATTATGCGTGCCACGTGTGCTGGCGTTACAACTCAGACATTTGTAATGATGCGGTGATTTCAAATTCCTTTTCACCGGTGTCTGGCACTCACCTCTATCAATCATTTTTCCTTCTATTAAAAAAGACACAGGACAGTCTAAAACCAAGACAGCGTAAGTGGCGCAGTTAGTGACACTTTCTGAAAAATACTATCATAGGCTGGCACTGAATTTAGCTCAATTATCCCCAAATACCCATCTGTGGAGGAATCGCACATGCACACTCCTGCACAGCTCCAGGAAAACAATCATTACCGATAACAGTGCTAAAGATACCGGCCATGCAGCACCCTACAAACACAAACAGGTATTTTTCCCCTTCCATCGCTCGCTGAGCAAAGCGTTCATTTCAGCCTCTTCCCGTTACGTGCCCCGGGAAACAGTGTGGGAGTCAGGCAGAGGATCCGCGCTTCATGACACAATCGCCTTCAGGACCGAGGATTTTCCAGGCTCTACATCTGCCTTCTGAATGTTGCCATAAAAATAACTTACAGCCTTGGAACGTTACTTATCAACTTATGATGTTTACTGTTAAAAAATACCGTGTTTCTGTACTTTTAATCACAACTGGGAGAAAGGATTTCTCTGTCATCTACTTATTCTGGATCCCTTCCATTCCCGCTGGACGTGGGTCTGCAGTGCTTCCACAGGACTTGTCTGAAGGAAAAAAAAAAAAAAAAAGAAAGAAAAACTTCGCACCCTGGGTTCATGAGAAGGGCTGGAGCCCCCGCACACCGGGGTGTGGTGGGCTGCCTCCAGCTGCTGGCTCCTCTGGTCTTGGGCTATCCACTTCACCTCTCCCCATTTCTGTTTCCTCGTACACCAAACAACACCAGCAATCTTTGACCACGATCCTAAGCCTGCCAGCACCAGTCTGTCAGATGCTGCTATTCCTTCTTCAGAAAGCAGGCACCAAGCTGAGAGGCTGCCCCCCTGCACAAAACCCTTCTCGCCACCAAGAACATCTCTACCAAAGAAACCATCACCAAGGAGCTTTGGGCAACTCCTTGCAGTTAACCCCAGCAGTGCGAGGTCGATGCTCACCCCCACGCTACAACACATCCAGCTCTGAGCCGGCCCTGCCAGCAGTGTCCCCTCTGCTCCTGCGGTGGAGGAAAGATGGGCCCGAAGAGCAGCCTCGTGTTGCACCACGGGACGCGGGGACAGGCCGACAAACTGCTGCTGTCACCTCCTCTTGCAGCTCCTTCCCACAGCACCAGAGAAAAGAAAACTGAAACACAAATCAAATCCTACTCTGCAAAATTAATAGCTTCCACTTGCTCCTTTCCTGTGCCTGCTTTCCCTCTGCAATCACACGCGCAGGCACGGCGTGCGGCACGGTGCTACTGATGAACGAACCCCGCAGCTGCACAGGCAGACCCCCAGGCAGTTTTGAAAGCAGCACTTTAAAGAAAGTTGGTTCTTTAGTATTAAGATATTTATGGTCCCCCCTCTGAACCGATGTGATAACGGCGATGAGCTTGTGGTGGGGAGCAGGTGGCAGTGTGAGAACACGCAGTTATTATCCTTGTGAAAAAGTTCTGTAGGAATTAATAGAAAATTATCTCCTTACTACTGAACGATGTCAGATGAAGGCAAAAACCCGGGGAAAAGATCTCGTTCTCTATTAAATTCAGTAAGATTCGTCAAGTAGTTTCCAAAGAATCAGCCCAAATTTTTACATATTTCTCTCCGTTTCATCCCTCTACAGGGTTTTTGGAAGGGTCACAGAACTCTTGCCTGTTATCAGCCCCGCTGGTGCCCTGTTTAAAATTGCGTGCTTGGCAGCATTTGCTCTTTTCTTACTAGGGTTCCCTTCCAGCTATCAGTGATAACAGCTGGGCAAAACAGGAGGGGCCAGGGGATATTACGAGAGCGGGGTTTGTTTACATTTATTTAAGGGACTTTCCTTTACATCCTAAAGTACATTTTTAAATGCAGCAGCGCAACTTTTCAAAACACATAATGCCCCTTAAAACAAGCGACCTGCTCTGTGTTTATTTCTACTCGCTTAACTTGCTGTGCTGCTCACAGTTTTTGCTGTGGCCTCCAAAGAGGCCCCGAAATCTCAAGACCCTGGCGCTTCCCAGAGGCAGACGCCGAGCTTGGGCCCACACAGTGCTCAGGACAGCGCTGCTGCCATGCTGCGGGGTGGCGCTGGGCTTTGTGCCCTTGCTCCACAGCTCAGCACCACCACAGGTGTCCTCGCACACCAGCGAGGCCCAGCACAGCAGGGCATGGCACCGCATGAGGCCAGCCCAAAGGCCATCCCACTCCCCCCAGGGCTCGCTTTGGCTGGCGAAGGCAGCCGGGCCCAGCACAGCCTCCGGCCTGTCAGCCGCCTCCGTGAGGGAGCAGCACGACGTGACCAACTGGCGTCTCTTCTGGAGAGGGAGAAGCACACCCCGGTGAGGAGACGCCGCGGGATGGGAGCCCGCTGCCTTGCTGCTTTCGTGCCTGCCAGGGCAGCGCGGGGGGGCTCCGGGGGCAGCGCAGCGGGGGGCAGCCAGAGGGGCACGAATTCCTGCCGGCCCGGCGGGTCATGGCAACGGGAGCTGGGGGAGGAAAATGAAGCAGCGGGAGCTGTGAGAAAGCGGCGGCACGGCGGGGGGAAGAGGAGGGCGGGAGGGGAGCACGCAGCGCTGGCAGCTCTGGCTGGCAGCCGGCGGCAGGGAGCAGCGGCCCCGCTGACGGGAGCGCCGCGCCATCCGCGCACCCAGCACCTTGACTCACGCCAGCCACAGCAGCCCCTCACCCCTGAGTGAGGCACAGCCTGCTCCGAGCACAAAGGGGTTCAGGGATTCAAGCAGCACACGTGGGCTCTGGGTTTGCGGCCCCCAGACGCTCCCAGCGTGTTCCCAACAAAAGCCGGCGAGGCCGGGAGCCCGTGGCACCAGCCCCTGGGGCCAGGGCGCTCTCCGTGCCCACGCTGGCACGGGCCCAGCTGTCCCATGGGCACACACGTCTGGGTTGAACCACACCAGCCATCGATAGCAGAGCGATGCGAGGTGTCCTCAAGCCCCTTTTTCCAGAGTGCCACGTGAGCCTGGCTAAGCGAGGGCTGGCTCCTCCTGGCGCCGCACGGGCCAGCCAGGCCCCGGGGAAGTTTTGTTCACGCCGAGGATCCCACCTGGGCTCTGCGAGGCGCTGCCCCCGTGCCTGGCACACGCAGCAGGCACCGCGCTGCTGCTCCCCGGTGAGGCCGGGCTGGCTCAGCACTGAGCTCCCGTCGACCTCCCGTGGAAATGAACCCCAGTGAGCTCAGGCCTCTTCCTTAGCAGATTGGGAGCTGCACAGATGCGGTGCCAGTTGCCTTTTTTTCACACACTCTCCTACTTGGAGCCATGACCACGGTCCTCTCCTAAGAAGAAAAAATGGTAAGGACCCGGTAAGAGCCGCAGAAGATGGCTCCATCGCAGGGAGCCTCCAGAAGCACCACCTGCATTTCAGCCCTGCCTTTCAGCAGCCACACGCCTCACGGTGCTCTCAGCCCCAGGAACAGGCCCGGCCCCGCTGCCCCCAGCCCCCAGGGGCCATGCCGTGCCCCAGATGCTGCCCTTCCTTCACAGCCACCTCCCCTCCGAGCCGGGGTGCAGGCTGCCAGAGCCACAGCTGCGGCAGGGGGAAGAGGAGGCAGAAGCTGCCCCGGGCAGCTGGTGGCAGAGCCGGCTGCAGCATCGCCCCTCCTGCCCCTGCTCCAGGGCTGCCCTTCCCTGCCCAGGGCACCACCCGCAGCGCCAGAACTGCATGGGGGAGCCTCAGCCGGAGAGCCGCAGGGGGAAGAAGGGGAGCTGTGTAGAAGCAGGTATTCTTACATCAGTCTGCTTTACAGAAAGTCCCACCCGCTGCGAGAGGAGAAAAAGAGCCCTGGGGGCGATTCGGCCACACGCTGATGCAGGCCGAGGTGCTGAGCGAGAGCGGGCCTGGGCCCGACGTGGGCGCTGGGGAGGAGGCACGCGTCCACGCTAACCCCGCCAGGGGCAGAGGGGCAAGTGGCATGCACACCCGGAACAGCACCGCAAAGTTCTGTGCACCCTGCCCTCACTTTTAAAGCTTTTCCTCTGATTCTTTCCCAGTCCCAGCATCTGCAGGTACACTGGGATACACTGACAATGTTGCAGCCCCAGTGGGGTCCCCCCACAGGGTGGCCCCGAGGAGGTGCGGGTCCCTCCAGGCTGCAGTAACAAACTGAGTGTCCCCAATGAGCACAAGAGCTTGCGATGGGCAGAAACACGGCTGAAAATGGTGGAGGCACCTGGGCACCAACAGAAACTCACACGTGGAAAGGGCTGGCAAAGAGTGAGTTACTCCGTGTTGCAAGTCAAAATAAACCTGACCCTTCAGAGGGCCCCAGCCCATTACTCTTGTGCAAATTACATGTGCGTCCTCTGGTGCATACATCCACAGCCACAAACACGGAACATGAGAGGGACAGAGAAGGAGAAACCTTGCTGAACAAGGGGGTTACACACTGTAGGAATGCAGGCGTGTGTGATCTGCGTTATTTCTTTGCTCAAGGCCACCTAGCAACAGCGCATAGGTTAATCCTCCACAGACCGAGCAGACAGCATCAGCCAACAGGAAAACAAAACATCCCTGCCAGAAAAAATCAGAACAAGAATTTCCCATTTGTGAGAGGGTTGTAGAAACAGGTATACACGGCACTCCTGCAAAAGGCAGATTTCCTTGTAAATGGAGTTATTGTCCACCTCGTTATTAAAAATACAAAAAGAGCTTCACAACCTTTCCAGCACACCCCGCTGGGAGCTGCGGGAGCCCTGCCCCGCGGGGAGCTGGGGGCTGAGCCATGCCGTGCCCGAGGCTGGTTGCTGTCTCTGCTGCCGTGCCCTCTGGAGCCGTGCCCCTCTGCCAGGGCCCGCAGCACCTGCAAGGGCAGGGGCAGGTTTCCACGAGCAGCAGCTGGACGTTAACACAGGCTGATGCCTTCTTCAAGCCACCATTCACAGAGGCTTGGTCCCCCCGTGGTGATCATCTTAGCATATAAGCTCTGGGACATCGGGCCAAGCAGTTTGTCCTAGCTCAAAGGGCATCCCCACAACACCAGCACAGCACCCCGTGCTTGTCCCAGCTCCCCGCTCCTGTGCTAGCACGGGGTGCACCAAGAGCCAGCTCTCCACAGCATCACTTCGTTCCCTGTTTGATGCCTTCCTGGAGCTCTCCCCATTGACACAGGCTGGTAGCCAGCCCTGCGAACTTGTCAGTGACCGCCTTCTGTGGCTGCTCCCTTCCTGCAGCTCACCAACAGATGGTAGCAGCACCGCTGCTGTCATGCCGGTGCTGGCGGCAGGAGGGGACTGCTCCAAAACTCTCCCTGGGTGCGGAGAAGCCTCCCTCGCCTCACCCCAACCCCACACTCCTAGTGCCCCCTCGCAGGCCGGAGCGTCTCCCAGCACGGCACACTCGACGCGAGGCTCTGGCAGGAGCAGGAGCAGGAGCAGGAGCAGGGCTGCAGCTCGGTGCAGCCGGGGGGATGCTGCCGGCACCGAGGGGCTCGCTGCCTCCTCCTGCCTGGCGAGGTGTGCCCAGCGGGGTGGCACGCACCGGCTTCAGGACCTGCTCCACGGCTGCACCACAGACACACACCAGCTCTGCTGTGGGGCTTCCCCCGACTCTGCAAAGTGCTCGGGGGCTTGCAA